ACAGCGGCCTAGAGTGAGCAGAGGCCGGGGGCTAGAGTGAGGAACGGCCGGAGGGCTAGAGTGAGCGGAGGCGGGTGGGCTTGAGAACGGCGTGGCTGGCGGATTCGACGAAGGAGCGTCCGGAGGGCTTACGGCAACCACGTGACGACCCCGGCTGGGTTCCACTTCGTCCACGGTGAAAGCCGATCCGGTGATCCACAGCGCAAAGCTTATTCGTTTTGCTAATAAACGTTATGTTTCTTATTTATTTGGTTCCACAGTGTTTGCTGATTTTCAGTTTTATATACCTATTTAAACTTTGTGTAGCCTAAGTAATTTGTTATTTTATTAGGCATATATGGTGTATTCTTATTCGTTTTGTTAATAAAAGTTCTGAGTTTGACGTTGTTGATGCTTGAATTGAATCAATGCCGAATTGCCACTAATTTGAAAGTGAAAGTAAAATGTGCACGCACTTTTACAAGCCATTTGAAAGCGAAGAAATTAGGGAAACTCAAACGAACTAACACCTTTAGTTCTTTCTTTTCGTTTCTAACTTTCTGCGCAATTGGCAAAGCTGAATGTAAAATGTAACACTGCATACACCATCCTAACCCTCGCTAAAGAGGAGCTCCCTCTCTCTCTGTTTAACCAAACTCAGATTAACTGGTTTACGAAAGAAATCTGTCAGTGTTTCTTTTCATTTTCTCTCTTCTTCAGCCCTTTGCATTTCCCACGGTAGTTAGCTCCCTGTCACCTAATATTAACCAATATAAAATCTGCATTAAAGTTAAGAATGTAAAGATGAAATCTGTTAATATATAACTTGTAGTTGTGGTGCTCATTCATTTTTGCTGGTGCTCCTAAGTTTTTAAAGTTGGGAGCACCAGTGCTACAAAGTAAAAAAGTTAATTTTGAGCCCTGCACTAGATTTCACTGTGATCTGCTGTTTAACCAATAATGAAATGTAATTTTGATTGCAATGATAACAATCAAGTAAAGACTAAAGTCAACTTCAGTAAAGGTTTCTAGTGCTCTTCCAGTTACTCTCAACTAATCAAAATCAAAGCAGTCTGAACCTGATAGATCTCAGCTGAAAGAGATGATCTCTGAGTAATCAGACATTTCTGAAGAAACTATAAATACAATTAAGTCACAGTTGTATCAAAAGAGAGTCTGAAAAGTGTTGAAGCATGTATCCGCGAGCTCTCACCAGTGGATGAATCTGTTGCTGGTGACTGAGAGGAGCTTCCCGCTGTCCTCATATGAGAATCCCCCTGCACTGTCTGCATACTTCACACCGCCGAAGTGAAGTCCAACACCTGCCAAACACAACGACACACACCTCAAACAACACGCTCAGTATATCCCGCACTACCAAAAAACTCTGGACACACTCGGGTGAATTTATATTTCTCACGATCTTAAAAACATTTTGGCAGATGAACGGTCTGCAGAAAAATGCATTTACAAAATGCATGATTTACAGGTCATCCAGATACGTAATGAAGACCACCTAATGTTTTCATCTTTTTAATGCCAAAGCCCAGCTAAATAATATGGGACCCCATTATTTCTGTCAATTTTATCACTGTAATTCCATTACTTCTATTTGTGTGTTATTTTGTAGCTTTGGTGAATTCACTATATTGCTAAAAAATTAGGAAAAGTCATAATATAGATTAGATGTGGTCACACTTTTGACTAGCAGTATATGACTCCAAAAAACAAAAACATTAGCCATCTCTCTCTCCCTCTCTCTCTCTCTCTCTCTCTCTCTATATATATATATATATATATATATATGGGTCAAAGAAGAGTTAATTGTCAAACTTCAAAATCTGATTATTTTTCATTTTTAAAAAACGCCATTATTTTATTAGAAAAAGCTAATAAGTTTATTTTATTGACAACATATTTTAGTTTGTCTTGGATATTTTTTTTATTAGATCAGAAAACATTTTAAGCTGTCATATGGTCATGATACAACGTGCCCCTCAGACATTACAATGTCTCCCACCTACGGGGCATGTTGTCACATTTCACTTCCATTCTTTGAGGGTAAATAAAAAAAATGTATACTGTAATTATGAAATAAAGCGTCCTATTTGTACTAGACAACAGTAAAATTGCTGTGGATAAAAAATTATACTCTGAACCCCATGTGGACGTTGTGCCCCACTCTCCCCTACTGTACTGTACTAACGTTACTTATATTGTGCGTTTGCCCTTCAGAAGCACATAACAAAATCCCTCAAAAGAAAAGTGAAAAAAACTTTAATTTCAGAAAAATGTGACACAGTAAGAGATATGTCTTTTATATGACCGTTATCCAGCGCCTGTTCTGAGTCTGCCGCCTCGCGACACGCACGCGCTGCAGCACTAAAGTCGCAGTCTATCTTAAAACACATCTGACTGAAAACGTCGTCTCTAAAACAGTTTAGAATGAAAAGGCGTTACCCAGATTCAGTGTGATCTGTCTGAATCGTAAAAGAGACTCTCTTTCGAAGCCGCAGATTTCTATGTAACTCTTTTCTAGCACAACCGCCATCTTCCCGCGGTGCACCCTGGGACTGATCGCCGCGCTTCCGCCTTTCAAACACTTAAAGAGCCAGTGAACTACCTCTGAAAATCTCATATAAATATACATTTGATAAAAGAGAGAGAGAGAGAGCAGGGAAGTTTTTAGATTTTATTTTTTTCTTAATAATTAATTTAAATAATACATTTTCTTAATTTTAATTCAACAGTTTCACACATTAGTATATATATATATATAT